CCCCGCGGGGCAGGGGAGGAGGGCGGTGGGCAGGCGAGTCCCTGTTGCAGGAGAGATTTTAGCTTTGTTTGTAAATATGCGCGTTACTATGCGCACACACTAGAAAAAGTGAAGTCAAAGGGATGTTCCCCACTCTCACCAGCGACAAGTGAAACCCGCGGTCGTCTAAAGCCTCGGCAAAGTTAGAGCTAATTCCCAAACAGGGCAAAGAGAAAGTTTTTTTCTTCCCGTAGATAACTGCACGACTCTCTCTAAATTGTTGTAACCCTATCTCACGGCAAAACTTGTCCTAAAATGTGTTACCTCTCCTCTCAGAGTTATCAACAGAAAAAAGTAACAAACAATTTTGGCTATTTGAACTGCTCCTGCTCCACAGGCAATGTTTTATCATCGTTTTTCATGGCAGGAGTTGTGGGCAAGAACACAGCTGTGTGGTTTGTGATACTGTGTTACTGCAACGTATCTGACTGCCTGAGTAGTGTGTCCTATCTCAAACGATCAGGACATAGTTCGTAATAGCTCCTAGAGCATTTGTAAGGATGCAAAGCAAACTGCAGGGAGACTGCCTGTAAAATAATGCCCGTACAGCCATTGTAACAGATAAGCATAGTATATTTTCCTGGGCCTTTTTATTGACCCGCTCTCAGAGTCTTGACAACATGGTGGTCTTTCCCAAACAATACTTGAAGGCTCACCTTGGTGAAATTTGCAAGGCTGACACAGAAAATAGAAAGCACCGGCACCAGTTACTCCATATGTTTATCTTGTCATGTAAAAAAAGCACTACAAGAGCCCAGATGTTTTGATACTCCGTTCACAGTGTGTGTCCCTACCCACCATAGCTCATTCTATCAGTCACCACTTTTCCTGTCTTAATAACGAATTTCCATTTTGAGGCCTGTTCTATTTGCGGGCAATAAACTTCTGAACCACCCCACTTGTTTTTTTCACTGTAAATGAGCTCACACAGGGCACTCTGCTGACTTGTCAGATCCATTCCTGAAAGGAGGGAAGCTGCGTCCCAGCAAGCCGTAGGAAGTGTTCCTCTCAGGCCATGAGGGCAGACATTTGTTGTGACATCACTGTGTCCTAGGCAGATATCCTTTATGGTATCTGCCATTCTTTTTCAGCTTTAAGATCCTGTTTTAACCTACTCATAAGTCTGTCAAGACCATTGCTTTGTCAGAAAACTGTTTAGGCTCTAACACGCCCACAGTCTACGCATTGTAATCGGTAAGAAAGCAGACATAAGTGGTTCTCTTGTGATCCACATGAATATCTGTTCATGTTGGAGCCATGCCAAAACACTCTGGAGCTGGGGAGCACCAGGTCTGTGAAACTTTAAATAGCTTCGCTACTGCATGCGTGTTATTTTCCTATATCATTCACCATTTTTTTCTGGAGCCCTGTTTCATGCATTGCACTGGAATAGAAAGTACTTATTTAATGAGAAGTTTTCCATTGTTTCTCCCACTCGACCTGGCATTTTGTCCTATCTATTGTGTTTTCTTCAAGTCACGCTCTGAATACAGAACTACATATTTTGTCAGTGTTTTTTCTTCCGTGGTTATTTTGACAGAGTGCCCCAAAAATGCTAGCACATTCGTTTTCAAGCATTGTTACAAAACAAGGCATGCTATTATCTTCAGTTAACAAGTGGGAATTCTGAGATGCAAAGGAGGTAAGATAGAAGAAAACACAAAGCTTAGATGCCTCATATGAGAGAAGTCTAGGACTTTATTTTTTTGTAGCTATTTAGCACTACGCCACACTTCATTTACCCGCTTACGGTTCTCATTCACTTCAGATCCAGATTTAAGTATTCATGAAGTTGATAAATCAGATTCTCATCAGACATGGGAAAAATCAGTCAGTGGCCACCTATGATAGATGTAAGTAATTCGCATAGCATCAATTACACACTCAGGGACAAGGTTATAACTTAGTTTTCAAGACAGAATTGAATTGCCTTAACCACTGACCTGTTCTTTTCTCCCTGGAAGGCTTTGCTGCATTCACTACTCACTTTCCAACTTCTGTCACAAACATGGAAGAAGTCCTCCTAAATGCAGTCTATAATCTATTTAACTTCACAAACTCAGTTCACATCCATACTTCCTGCCAAAAGAGGCAGAGGCCCTATAAAATAAATAGTACATAATCCCCAAGTTTATAAAAATTCATTTACAGAAGGAAATCTTTCAGCCGACTTTCAGCCTTTTGACTGACTGATATTGTGACCTTAACAACAGTATTTGTTCAACATTTGTGTAAGCATAACTATGAAATGGACAAAACACTGAATTATATGTCATCCCATGAATCATGAATACTTATCAAAAGTATGACTTACTTTTTAAAATGAAATGAGTATAATCCACTCAATGAATGAATCTCCCACCTAATCCTGCCAGGATTACCTGGTATAACTCTTTTTTAGACATTAAAACACCTCAGTCACAACAGCAAAAGCTTCACCTTGAAGATGACCTGTTAATTATTCACTAGACAATGTTTATCTAATAAACTTCACTACTCTTTCAATTCTTAGAATAACTGTGAGCATGACGCCAATCTTTCTGGAGACTTCTTTTGGGTGTTTTCTGCCACGCACATTTGTGACAATTTTTCTACTTTTCCTTCCTTCATAACTTTGTGGAAGAGTAGGGTGGCATTGGAAATTGTACAGTGCTGTTTCATGGCTGTGTCCTTTGAATGATTGTATGGGTACTCTGACACCAATGTTTAGAGAGACATGAACAATTTCAGTAAAACCATCTTTCCACATGCTTATGTAGAAATGTACCCTTCTGGCACATGCATGAATGAGCAGATTTTGCACATTTTCGTTGCCCAGTGTTACTGCCCATCCACAATTAACATTTCAATCAAATTTTGTACAGAAAGAATAAATCACTCTTATTTGAAGGGAATTGTATCTTAATTTGACAGCATGACTCTCCATGAGAAGACGGAACTTCTGTGGGTAGTATTTTGTAATGGGTGTATTAACATTTTCAGAGAACTTTCAGAAATGTTTCCTTCATGCATCTTTCAGTAACTCTAATTATCCACTGTCTCAAACTGATTTGCATACTTGTTGTGTCAAATTTTGAAAGGAGTCTGTAAAAAGAGGCTTGCATTAAGGAAATTAGGTAGCTCCACTACGTAAAGATGCAAACTTCCGCTACACAAAAAATAGTTATCAAAACCTGTTTGGTTTGTTAGCTACTTTCAAGAACCAGTACCACCACTTGCCTTTTTCATTCATTTTACTCTTCAAATATTCCTCCAAGCCAGACAGCTCAACAGGAGTGCGGGGCTCATCTATCAAAACCAAGAGGATTTGAGGAATTGCTGGAGAATTAAATAATTGATGAAGAATTAAATGGCAGCGTGCGAGGTGCAGGGGAATGGAAATTTATATTGTATGTAGCCTGAGAAAGAGACACAAGGTCATAGAGCTTCCAAGGAGACCCTAAGCACAGAAGGGACAGAAAAAGCCTTTCTTTTCACCCCTGCAGTTTGTGGCACCACTGCAAATCATCTGCTTTGTAGTAATGACCACTCCCAGCAGTGAAGTGATTGCTTGCTGGCAGTTCTGGCACTTTAAAAATTACTATTATTTTTAATCCTTACTACAAATTTCAATGAGAATGAGAGAAAAAGAATTAATGAAGATAAAAGGGCGCTTGTTTTTATTATTGATCATTTAAGATATCAGATGAGATGACACTGAAAGCAAAGATTAACTACTGACCTCTAGACTCCACACAGCACGCCTCTGAGTGATGCACATTGCCTGAAGTGTCAGCAGAAGTAGAGAAAACAAATATTTTGATCTGTAGTATGCACCACCAAAATACTGGAAAAGACTATATGCATTGCTAAATTGTTAGTACAACTTTGTGTGCTTACAGTTAAATACATCAAGTTTTCAAAAGCTAACAGTACAAGTCTCTCTTCATTGAGTTCCATCTCCTGTGTAGCAATACACTCGTAAGAAAACAAAGACGTTTTAATGAGTGTCATTTTAGCTATAATTTATCGTTTAATTGAAAAAATTTTTTCAATTCAATTTTCAATTAAAAAAATTTCCAATTTTCTTTGGATCCAGATACAACAAGCTGCACAAGCTTAATAAAATTCTTCCAGCAGGCTATATCTTTTACATCTTTCTGAGTCAGCATATGAATACTTGGACTTTGTTAGTTTTGCCTGTTAGATATTCCAAAGAAGAAGCCTTAAGGTTCCAGCACGACCAAGTATGGGAGTTATAGAATGTGTTCCTACAAAATAGAATATGTAATTGAATGGAGTGGAATTGAATAAAGCAAAATTGAATCACAGGCATGTTTATATACTCCTTTAATATCTCCCTGGAGATTGATCGATCTACAGAGACAAGAAGAGTTGGCTTGATACTCAGTTTCACTTCCAGTATGGAGATGCAGGGCCAAAACCATGCATATTTTAGTACCTTTGTCTATTTTGGTTCAAATAAACATTTTATTGTGTAGCATTCACTTTTTTCCAATTGCTGTAAACAGTATTGTGCCTTTTGATGTACACACTCAGGCTCTACACTGATTCAGTCCTGTACCTGCTTTCTCTCTGTTGCTGAAAGTAGCATGGATTCAGCCTCACCACGTTGAACACAACCTGACACCTCTGCAGAAGCATCTTAGAAGGTGCTTATAGCCTAGCATGCCCCACAGTGTATGGACACCATTCCTCAGCACTGAGATATGCTTGGCATATCACATTCTTGGCATCCTCATGCAAAACAAACCTCCCATAATCCAGGAGGGAGCAGTTAATGACCTGCTGTGCCACCTGGACACTTACAAGTCTATGAGGCCAAATGGGATCCACCCAAGAGTGCTGAGGGAACTGGCGAAGGAGCTGGCCAAGCCACTGTCCATCTTCTGTCAGCGGTCCTGGCTAACAGGGGAGGTCCCAGATGACTGGAGGATCGCCAGTGTGACACCCATCTACAAGAAGGGCTGGAAGGAGGATCCTAGGAACTACAGGCCTGTCAGCCTTCGTGCCAGGCAAGCTTACGGAGTGATTCATCCTGAGTGCGCTCACTGGGCATGTGAAGGACAACCAGGGGATCAGGCCAAGCCAGCATAGGTTCATGAAAGGCAGGTCCTGCTTAACCAACCTCATCTCCTTCTGTGACCAGGTGACCCGTCTAGTGAATGAGGGAAAGGCTATGGATGTTGTCTACCTGGACTTCAGTAAGGCCTTTCACACTGTTCCACCACAGCATCCTCCTGGAGAAACTAGCTGCCCATGGTTTGGATGGGTGTATTCTTCACTGGATAAAGAACTGGCTGAATGGCTGAGCCCAGAGAGTGGTGGTGAATGGAGTTAAATCCAGCTGGGGGTCGGTCACAAGTGGTGTTCCCCAGGGCTCAGTTTTGGGTCCAGTCTTGGTTAACATCTTTATCAAAGATCTGGATGAGGGGATTGAGTGCTCCCTCAGTAAGTTTGCAGATGACACCAAGTTGGGTGGGAGTGTCGATCTGCTTGAGCTTAGGAAGTCTCTGCAGAAGGATCTGGACAGGCTGGATCGATGGGCTGAGGCCAACTGTATGAGGTTCAACAAGGCCAAATGCCGGGTCCTGCACTTTGGTCACAACAGCCCCATGTAATACTACAGGTTTGGGCAGGAGTGGCTGGAAACCTGCCTGGCAGAAAAGGACCTTGGGCTGTTGGTTGACAGCCGGCTGAGCATGAGCCTACAGTGTGTCCAGGTGGCCAAGAAGGCCAGCAGCATCCTGACTTGTATCAGGAACAGTGTGGCCAGCAGGAGCAGGGAGGTGATCGTGCCCCTGTACTCTCTTCACTGAAAGAGTGGTCAGGCATTGGAATAGGCTGCCCAAGGAGGTGGTGGAGTCACCATCCCTGGAGGTTTTAAAAAAAGTGCAGACGTGGCACTTCAGGATATAGTTTAGTAGGCATGGTGTTGTTGGGTGGATGGTTGGACTTGATGATCTTAGAGGTCTTTTCCAACCTATGGTTCTATGATTCTCATTTCTTGGCTAGTTGCTCTGTCACCAGGCCAGATGTTCAGAATGAAGCAGCATGAGAGGAGCTTGTGAAGAAGAAGCACAAACTCTTAATTTTGCAGATGGAAAATTTCCCACTAACCTAGCAACAGAGCTGGCCTAGCCCAGCATCCACCACATCACAGAGCGGAACTGTTTCAAATTTAAGAAGCCAAAGATAGTATACTTGTGCAGCTGGCTTAGAACGAACTGTCAGGACATGAAGGTGTGTAGGAGCCCTACACAGTGAGGTAGCTATACCCTGTAGTAAGGTGATCTGTGGTGTTTTTGGTGGGAATGTCACTCGAATCTCTCTTGCCCCTGCCCCATCTCCTGAACCCCAAAGCTAATGTCATACTGAGTACAGTGAGGGTGGTTAGGATGCTGGAGAAGTGTCCACCTGCCAGGTCACATCAGAAGAACCTGCAGCCCAGCCTGTACAACTGTCCTGCAGGTGTTGAAGGACCTGCTCAAAATTGTTTAGACACAACCTTCTGGGAAGGAACCAAACTTTAAAGCATACACTGCTGCATGATCTTACCTGCTGCAGTGAGTGGGAGCTCACACCTGGGAACAGGAAAGATGACAGTTGCCTTAGCTGTCCATAAGTCACAAATGTCTGCTGACTTAGTGAAAGCCATAATATCAATAGTAGCCATGTTATCAAGTGGCCCCATGTAAACAGCTCATTCTTCTATCATCTTGTTTTCCTTCATAGCACTTTTGTCTCCTCCAAATCCACTATATAGTAAACACACACAGCATGTCCTTGTATATCTCAGTGTGCTCCACTGTAACAAACACATCCAGGGTGTCATTATGTGTCTCAGATACCTCCTCGGTTTTCTACAGGGACACCTGAAGGAGCATGAAAGTCTTGATCCACTCACAAATCAGACGAGCCTGCAGAGAGGCACAGTGGAAGAACGCTGAGAGTGTAGGACGTCTCACACAACAATGTCAGCCTGGATCCTCAGTTCATTATGCTTGTTATTTCCTTCTTCTCCCACACTTTAACTAGTTGACCTCAGAAGTGCAAACACCATTAGGGCTGACCAGGGACTCTGCATTTTTTCCACACTCCCACACACTTAGAATTTGTCTGTACTAGTAGTTTGACAATGCTTGGGACCATTTTTCGGTCCTGAAGACAACTGGTGTGAAATGGCCTAGATCCATACTGGTTTATACTGCAAAACAGTATGGTTACACCCAAAATGGTCTGTGAAGAATTGTCTCTTGCTTCTGTTAAATCCCAGGCTGCCTGGGAATTTTTTTGGAGAGAGCCAGGGAAAACCCTAAGCCATTCCAGCATGTTTCTAATATTTTAGTAGTACAATCAATTTCTGTTCGCTGACAAGATTCCCTGGCTTTAATTTAAGGATTAGCTAATTTAATGTGACGTCACTGGTGTCTGATGTAAGAGGTCCAGATCCCAATAAACTTGCAAACGAGCAAGTGTCTCCTAGGCATCCATTTGCAAAGTTACCGTGTTTAACATTAGGATGTAGGTGGCTAATCAGGGTCCGGTTATTGTATTTCTTCAGATCTTAATGAATCTAATGTGGTTACTGTTCCCTCTCCACAGATGCTGCTGATGGGAAGCCTTTTGCTCAGGCTGCTGCAAAGCTACCTCTACATCCCATGTGCCAAGTCTTCTAGCACAGCAAGAGCTGGTGCACAGTCCCCTTCAGACAACTAGGGAGGTCATTCTGCCTGAAGTATGCAACATGTCGGCAATGAAATAGTAGGGAATAGACATTGCCAATCCCTCCTTCTGTGACAACTTAGGAGCAAAATGGAGAGAAAAGAGCCAGACAAGCAGATTCTTTGGAACACTGTTAGTCCCAGTCTCAGTTCTCCTTGACACCACTGCTGAGCCTCTAGGCATGACATACAGACATTTCACTTCAAGTTACCTCAAGAAAAAAGCAAAGGTAGCCAGGCTAGGCACCTCTGAAGGTAAAAATGCCCAGCGTCCTAACAGAGTTTACTCCAACCACAAACTCATCTCACTGGCAATGAAGGTATAAGTGGCAATATTTGGAGCTGAGGAAAGAAGATGAGGGGCTTCTTTAGCTCCCCTTGTCCATGCATCCTGATGTTTATGTCTGTGAACTCTTCTTGACATGATTTGTGTGTTATCTGTTATCACATGCTGTGTTTGGCTACATACTGTGCAACTTATCTGCATGCTCTTATTTTCTTATCTTGTTTTGCTTTTCTAAGTTCATTTTTGACCATTGACCTAGTTTTCCCTTTTCCTGTTTAAATAAACACGCTTGAACTCTTAGAGGTATGTTGATCTCTCTTGTTTTTCAAAGTAATTCTAGGGCTCCTAAAGCTTCATCTCCTTGCATGGCAGCACAGCCAGCTCCCGTGGAGTTCAGGGTCCAAAACTAGAAGGAAGCATAAGGAACAGATAGAGGAACTCCAAAAGGTTGAAAAAGGCTTTCAGAAAAGGAGAAAGCAATGTAGTCCTAGATAGACACTGTATTTGTGGACTGGCAATTTTGCTTGAACAGTTAGAGGTGTCCTGTTCAGCCATGCCAGACCCCAAGATCAGAAGATCACAATCTTTGATCAGACTAGAGGGACAATGACCCTCTTTCTGGTCAAGGCAGGAAAAAGTTATGATCCCTCCCTGGTGAAACGTATGAGTGGGAGAAGAAGGAATTTATCCACCAGTCTTGGTTTGCCTGGATTTTTCATGGGGGCATAGATGACCATGGGGGAAGATTCCTAATTGTAGCTCTTAGCTTTCTTGCTGGCAAACCACAGAGGACAGGGCCTTTCTTTCCAATGTGCTTCATGGTCCCAAGGTGTGCATGAGGCAGACAGGTTGGGATTAGTAAGCATATTACCAAATTCTGCAATGAAAACCCACAAACACTCCACTGAAGTATGATGTGGATGCAATTGGTTGGTCTGTGTCAGGATCCACTGCCTGCATGCCACAAGCCTTGGGAACCTGAGGTAATATTCACTGCTACTAAAGCAGTATGTATACAGGCTTAAAGCAGTATAGATACAGGCTTAAAACAGTGTAAGTACAGATTTACAACCCTACAAACATGGAAGAGGAACTGAAAGAATGGCAAGTGGTCCTTTAATCCATAGTTTCTTAATCTGTAGGATGTGCTTTACCAAGGCACTAACAAAAAAATGTGAAGCATTCTCACCACAGCTCTTACAGAGCTATGTTCTGTAAGGAATCTTAAAGAGATGCTAATTAACTCTAAATAAGACCAATTCATTTGAGATGTATTTCTCCAGTTGTCTGCCTCTTATGGCAGGATCAACACTGACAGGTGCTTGTCTACTTACTGTGACACTGAATCATATCAAATGTGAGATCAGAGAAATGGATATTTAGACAGATGTGCTGCTGATGGAGGGGATCTGCTTCAGGGAACTGGGAGGCTGACCACACTGCTGGTGCTACAGGTACCTCTCCTCAGAGTGACAGGACTCTGTTTCCAGAAGACTCGACTCTGTGTACAGCTGCTTGACTCAACACCTGGCTCCTTGTCTTTCACTTTATTCTTATAGATTAAAATATTCTCAGCCTTGCAGAATTTTAATCTATTTCTCTCTGACAAATGAGAACTGAGGTCTACACTCAACCTTGTGATTTCAGAAACCCAAATATAGTTGTTGTATAATTTTATTGGTCAGGTTCATAATAGGTTTTCTTAGCAAGTGCCAATATGGAAAAAAAAAACTTAGGCAAGGGTCTAAAGAATAGAGGCAATAGTGTACTTGAAGTTTAACATAGTTAAATCAAGTTTTCCTACTTATTTGCATTTGGTCAGTGTTCTATCTACTTTTTATCACTAAATCTGGTATAAAGTGTTGCGTTTATCCACTTTCTGATTTACCAGCTAGAAGAATGATAGGCATTTTTTCATAGGCATCATTTCACTTCCTACCACTGGAGTAGAATGGTTGTGAAATGGCCTTACAAGGGTCAGTCTCAGCTGTGAGGAGTATGGTCAGGCAAAATGCACAGCCCATTTCCCTCACCCTGCTTAAGTTCACATTTTTCCTCCATTTTGTTTGCAATGCAGTAAAGTTAACTGCAAGTTCCTGGACTGACTTGAAGTCTGACAGATGCTTCCTAAATTTGGAAATGGAAATCATTTCACACGCTATGTGAAAGTTGACTTTTGGCTGAATATTGGAATTGGCAGCAATTGAAAAGGTACACTAAATTCTTATGTATGAAATCACACATTAGGATTACCACTGATTTGTGTCTATGACAATCCATTATACTCCCTTTGTTGAGAAAAACAGGAGTTATAAAATACCACCAAATTATAAAATACTATCAAAACTGCTTATATACCAATGCTACCAAAGGTGGTGTAGAACACATCAAGCTTTATAGTGGAATGGAGAGGCAAGATGAAGTAGTTACTCCAATAAAACCAGAAACAATTAGCTGATTGTTAAGCAATTGAAAAAGTCCTAGAGAATACGATACAGGACATATGTCGGTCTTGTGTAAGAATTGGAAAATTAAAAGGTAATGACTGGCTCAAAGAACTAGCAAATGCAGTGGAGATGGTATTGAAGGATGTACAGGTTTGCATTCAGAGACAGACAAACTGACTCAATATATGAAATGCAGTTTTTTAAAGCCTCCAAACACTACAGACTGTTCCTCCAATGAAGAAACTGATTTATCAGTTCATGATTGTGAAATCTCCCAATGTCATAGATGTCTCCAGCTTGGACCTTTAGCCAGAAAATGAAAAGATGAGTATAGAAAATTAATTAAAGCGAAAAACAGAGGTTTACTGCCTTGAGAAGGAGGGTGACACAAAGAAGAAGAAGATTATTGTTAAACCTGTTTCAGTTTCCTGGCATCATCCAATTTTAAATGGCCTAACAGAAACTGAATCTGCAAAGAAGACAGCGGAAATTACCAGAGGAAACTTGAAAAAATGATGACTCAACTGACAAGATGGACAGTCTCTCAAACTGTGATGGGCATGAGCCCAGTCCAGTGACAAACAAAGCAAGAATTCATGGATTAATCTAACCCTTCATATAGGGACAGTAAGAAAGTAAAGCAAAACAAAACATGGCTATCATGCCAGAGAAGTAGATCAGAAGACTTTCTCAAAGCAAATACTAACTATTCTCTATACACACTTGCCAAAATGACTTCCAGCTCTAGCCTGAAGCAAACTCAATAATTGTCTTTTAAAGTCCGCTTAGGTGAAGACCTAATCATAAATTATACCCGATCATGCCCACACGTAGAGAAAAATTTCAGTTGGGCACTTTTTGCCTGTTGCAGATGATCGTTTGGAGGAATCATGGCCAAAACAATAGTTTCACTAGAACTCAGTGTATCTACCTGAATGCCTCTACAGAGCCTCTGAAGAGACACTTCCCAGAAAGAGCTCTGCTTTTCAGCATGTTACATCAGAGCTGTAAATTAAAAAGATGTAATTAAATATTTGCTGTGGGGTCAGTAGAATTATCAAAAATATGTGCTGTGCAATTTAAAAAAACTACAAGGGATGGACTAAGACTCTCCTCATCCATAGTTTGATTTAATAAGCAGGATTTTTATTCTTTTACTCCACTTACAGTGCTACAGAATGAAGGCATGTGTTCCCTCCTGTACCATAAATAAAGCTTG